GAATTACCCAACCAGTGATACACCTAGCAATGAAAAGAACATCACAGCAATCATTTGGTGCTAAATAAGGACGTCAAGATTGTTCTGACTGGCCCCACTCAGTACAAAGCTAATGTGTAATACGAAGTGAAGGCATCTACTATAAACTGTGGAAGTGTGAAGCATTCTCCAGATGATTTTCCTCTTCCAGGAAAAAAAAGTCATTATTTTGAAAGAGAAACTGAAACTATACTGTGAAGTCTTGTCTACAGTTTACAATTACAAAAAAGACTTGACTGAACTTACCTCATTACCACTTGCTATCAGCGGAAGTATACATTTATATTTTTCTTTATCCACAGTGGTCATTATAATGTAGTTATCCTCTTTGTACAGGACACCAGTTGTGGGCTAAAAAACCAGACAACCTATGGATTAGCCAGATGTTTTTCTTAATGCTACTTGTTAGAAATATTCCTGAATTTATAAGCAGTACAGTTAATTCATCGAGCAGGTGGTCCAGGGCATTTCCTGGCTCTTAATGGCAGCACAAGACCAGGCTTTGGCATTTAAGCTTGCCATTATTTGTCTCCCTAGCTTTGATCCTTCTGACTCCAGCCACATTCCCACTCTCCTCCACACTCATCTTACATATTTCCCACTCGCTTATGAAAGATCTTTATTAAAGAAACGCCCCCGTAGCCATGACATTTTGCAACCCGCCATTCCCACGTCGGCTTTGAGGGCAGATTTCCTCGGGATTTTCCCAGCTGCCAGGCTCAGGCCACGGCCTAACTCCGGCCCGGCGTGCGGCGCGGTCCTTGCCGCCGGTCACCGCCGCCAAAACGCGGGGCGACGCTTAAGGCGCGCCCCAGCAAGGTGCTGCTGCCAGCACCCCGAACTCTGAGGCGCCTTCTCAACGCGGCGCAGGGGCTTCAAAAATAACCGCCGAGCGCGAGGGGGGCTCCGGCCGCCCGCGTTACCCGGGAGCAGCTGGAGCCGCCCAGCCCCTCAAGTGAGGGGCACGGCGAAAGAAGCAGCGAGCGGCCCCCTCACACCGCCCCCCCCCACCACCACCGCCCCGGTACCGACCAGGCTGAACTCGGTGCCGGGCCAGTTCACCCTGAAGGGGATGTCGTCGCTGAGCTGAGGGAGAGCGCGGCCTCCCTCCGCCGCCGCCGCCACCGCCGCCAGGAGAGCGCAGAGCAGCGCCGGCGGCGCGGCCGGGCCCGGTGCCCGGTGCCGGCGGCCCCTCATTCCGGCCGGCCAGCGGGGCGGGCAGCGCCGCCGCCACGTCTGCTTCCGCCGGGCCGGGCCGGGCCGGGGCGGGGCGGGCAGGGCCGCCCGGCATCAACATCCGGGGCAGCCGGCGGCGGGAGGGCGAGGAGAGCGAGGAGGGGAGCCGCCGCTCCTGCGGGGAAACCCGCGCGAAGCTGTGGGGGCTGTGGTGGAGGAGGGCTCGCTGGCGGCCGCGGGGAGCGCTTTAAGGGACGCTCCGCCGCCTGAGGGCGTGGAGAGAGGGAAGCAGCCCCTCAGGGCGGGTGACGGCTGCAGCCGTCCCGCTTCTGCGACTGGTTTCAAAACCATCGATCTCCCCGGCCCGGTAAGATGTGCTGCCATGGCGGGTGATCGCCGTGTGGGTGCGGCGTCAACGGAGTGCGCAGTGCTGGCCTGCCGTTGTGTTGTGTTTTCCTCTTATTTTATTTCCCGCCTCCACCCCTCCAAGTTTTAACCGGTAGAATAGTGCCAGCAAGGTTTCCGTGGTGTCGAACAAGTCGGGAAGATGCAAAAAAAAAAAGTGAGGCACACCATTTAACACTGTAGTAAGTATAGTGTAGCACTTACTGTTATCTCCAGATAAGTTGAGACACCGCTGGAATTAAGTGGAGACTCAGGAGGAAAGCGGCGCGTTTACTGTCTGTATCGCACTTGGTGATGGGGTGACATATGGGGATAATGGTAATGTTTTAGCAGTGTATTAGTGATTCTGAATAAGGTCTCGTGAGCAGAGTGGACACTGAAATGTTTAGCGAAAGAAGTAGGTGAAGACAAAGGAAGCAGATGATACCAGGAAAAATCCCAGTGGCGGTGGAGAAAGATAACTCTGGATGATGTGTCATGAATTGGTGGCTTCAGATGTTTTCAGGCCGTTCTTCATCACTGCTTTGTGAGTAGGGTGATGTATGTGTGCACTTCGTGTTTACGTTGGGCAAAACTGTCTGAACTGTTTAAGTAAATGGGATGTAATCCCCTGGTTGACTTTTGTTCTGATCAGAACGACTTGCAGATGGGGATAATATGGGTGAGATAGCTTAAAACTTTACTAAATGGCTGCATCAGGTCTAGTCAATACCTTTGAGCTTTGCTGCTGTAATTTTCTTGTTTAAGGATGTAATTTTTTGTTTCCTGTTAAACTAGTGCCAAAGTAGATATAGCTGTACTGGGAGAAGAATTCTTCTAGTTCAAGCACATGCTCTGTGAGAGGAAAGTGCTAGAATATCTGCAGAAAAGAGACCAAAGTTGCAGAAGGCCTGCAATATGTAGGCAAGACATTTGTTTGAGTCAAAGGAGGGTAACAGGTAAAGGGAGGCTCTTTGAATTTAAAGCCAGAGGAACAGGGAAATTGAGAATACTGAGGAGGTGTGGAGTTGGAGTAATCAGGTCTGTACTGTAGTGGGTAATCAAAGGGAGCTTATAGTCAATGTCCAGCTTCTGCAGAAGACTGTTAGAGAAGCCTAATTACTTGAAAAACAATCTCTTTCTAAAATCTTGTGGCAATTATATTCTTGCATAGTCGAAAATCAAGATACAGGGCCCTGCTGGGGTCTTGCTATCCTGACATCTGTTTGCATCTCCTCTGCGGGTCAGTAGCTTGGCTGAACAGAGTGGAAGGTCACTTCGCGCAAACTTTTTTTGGTACACAGGACAGACATACAGAAATAGATCGGACGGGGGAGCTGTAGTATTCAGGTTTTTTCAACATCCTCAGCTCCTTAGTTTGAGTAAAGCCTGTATCCAGATACACACCAGAAAGAAGGGATGGGAAGGGATACAAATCAAAGTTAAACTGGTGACATGATGAAGTCCGGGAAATCATGACATAAAATAGTGGTATAATACTGATGGGGGATGCTGCTATCAATTTTGTAACTGTGTTGCTTTAGCTTTTAAGGGTAAGTGGTATTCAAAATGTGGGGTTTTCTTCTCCTTGTGAGGTGTATTATCCATGACATTTTGAGCAAACAAGTACAGTTTTTTTCTTATGGTTCTTATCAAAATTGCCTGAAATGTTCAGAATTGTAGAGCTTTTGTTAAGACTGTATGTTTTTATTTTTTGACAGTTGTTAAAGAACTGCAGTATGACACGCTTATTCTTGTGTTTGTGGTAAAAATTGTTTTACTGAATGTGTTAAAGTTACTTTAAGAATTACCAAACAGTGCTTTCTTCTTAGCGACTAAACTGCACTTTAGTTACCTTTGAAGGATTTTAATCAAATTCTAGTTTCTTGAAAGCAGCCTGGTCTAGAAAGTCTGGTCTTTACATACCCTTGCGAAAAAAGAAATTTGAGGGGATGAAAGAGGGGATAAAGGTGTAGTGATACAGAAGTAGGGAAATTATTACCAATTCCTCTTTTTGTGTAGTGAGGGGGTGACATTTTTTTTTTTGTTTTGAAAAGGTTTGTGACCCTCCAAACTTTGATCATTAGTTTATGCATAAAGCTGTTAAACATAAGGGAATCGAGATTTATGTGTATAAAATACGAACTCTAAGGGTTGTCTCTGCATGTCTCTATAGATAGATACACATACACCTGAATGGTCCAGCAGTTTCCAAATTAGAACAGGTTAGGCCAGTCCCATCTGATCTTTGTTGTTTGCTCATCTGTGGGAAATAGGGAGCAGATAAATGGTTGAAGAAGGAAAGACAGAAATCATTACTGGGGATGCTACAAAGAATCTGGTAATTACAGCATGTTTTGATTTCCCTTGCCCATGAGTTTTCTTGCATTAAGAAATGCAAATCTGTTAATAGCAGTTTTATGATTAAGTCAGATGACATGTTAATTTTGTCAGTGGCTGCAAAATGGGTATGAAGTGTGCTTATTATCAAAAGCTGGACAAAAACATTAAGTAAAAGCATTGCATATTTCGGTTTTAGAATCATATATTCACAGAAGATGATTGCATATTTAATGACTTGCTATCAAATGTTTTAATTGATCATATTAAGGAATATCAGATATTACTTAAACTACTTTATAGTGTCTGCTTTTTTAATTCACATTGTATCACAATCAAGTTAAACTGTCTTATTGCAGTCTTTGTACAAACCTTGAATTTTTTTCCTGTAACTTAAATTAATATAGGGCTCTTATTTGGGAGATTCCAAAATAACAATGGCCTTAGAAATTTTACTGTGCAGTCACACCAGTGAAGACCATACTGTGTCCTTCATGCCTTCACGCATGGAAGGACAGAGGTCTGTGCTGACTGCTCAGTGATTTGAGTCTGTGGATCCCAGGGAGTAAAATCTGACAATGTGGATATGACTATTGTTTCCTCAAACACTGGAAAAACGTTTAGAGGTAGCTTTGTGTGTGCGTGAATGTATAGTAAAACCGTATCTAACATCTCTGTAATTGGTCACAAACTTAGATTTAGGTTTTACCAGAAGGAGAAAGAAAAAAATTAAGCATATATAGCATCTAAAAGATGTATGTTAATTTCTTCTGTGGTGAGTAACAGATCTGAAAGCACGCTGGGCTTCTGTTGGTGACTGAAGCTGTAGGAAGAGTCATGGCTCAAATCCCATACAGCAAGAACAAATGTGCATTTCCAGTGTTGTAACTGATTCCTAATGTTGACACAGTTTAAGACTGCATAACAGTAGCTAGATTTTGTATGTTGTTTTTCATCAGTAGATCTAACAGCATTTTATAACAAGGTGCAATGACGAGACACATTGATGTCTATCCTAATACGGATACTCTTTAAATAAACACAACATTTCTGCCAATTTCTTACTCCAACACCAGTAGCAAATGTGATACATTTTTATTGTACTGAAGTTGTATGCACAAACTGGAATGTATCATTACAGATATTGCAAGTTTCATGAATCTGGAAAATAAATGAACCAACAATGTCCTGAATATCATTAAAGATACAAAATGTAGAGCCATACATAATCACAATGCCCCAACACATTGCTTAAATAATTAAGGAGGGAATCATCACTGATGTCTCTGGATCATTAGTGAGTGTAAGCATCCCCTGCCCTGATTTAATGAACAAGGATAAGTCTTTGCGAAAATAATTTAAAAAAAATGCATAGAGTGGACAGGCCGTTGTACATGTTTTAACTTTACTACAACTTGCTTAAATCTGAAGGAAGCACGAGAAAGAAAGTGCTGATGTTGGCTGAGTTTTTTTGAGGTTACTATTCTTTTCAACACTTAAATATTCTCGAAATAAATCACACGTAACGTTTTTAGTAACAGTTAAATTACTCTTTAAGTCAAGGTGAACAAATGCATGTGTAATAGAGCATGTTCATTAACATTGATTTGGGTGTCCCTCTTTGGTGTGTGAAGTCACTCAGCTCCAGCTTTGGGCATCGTAATGACTGTCACTGCATGCAGACACCTGGCAGTTCTGATCAGACTCCTCTCCTACTCTGCAGCTGAATTACTTGGGGTTGCTTTTCCCCTCACTTATGTCAATCTTAAACCAGTGCAATGCAGCGGAGAATCAAGACCTTTGAAGGCTATTCCATCATTTGCAAATAACTCATGTCTGCTAATGGAAAAATGGGGCGCCTCAGTGCACATCATTATTTCACTAATAGGATTTGCTTCTGCAGTTTAGAGCAGTCCATCAAGTGATACCCCATCACAACCTGTTAAAATAGTGGCATTCAATGATTAATAGTAAACAGTAGCTTCTAAAAACTGTAATACACTTTTTTTTTTCCTCAGCAAATCAATGTGTGAGAGCTGCCAGAGGCACAATAAAATTATAATCTGATATGTAAAAAATACAGCTTTCTTGGTTAAATATTTTAAGTGGTCTAATTATCTCAAATTCAGGTTTGAATTTTAATATCCTGTTTTCAACTCATCTAGCTGCCTTTCTCAAATGTTTCCTATTAACATGCATTTATGTTCTTGTTGGCTTTTGTAGGTGGCCAAGTAAAATAATAGCTGCTTGTTATTTTGATAACCTTGATATTTTCAAGAAATTACAAATATAAAACAGGAGAATGCAAAGAAGAGAAAGGGACAACCTCTGTAGTAGAAGCATACGTTTTTTGCAATTACTGATGCAAAATGTAGGCTTCCAAGTTGCTACTAAACACTTATACGTTCTCTGGATGAGAAAATGCGACATTACATAGTGTTTGAAATAGGACCTTTCCTACATTAACATACAAAAATATACTTTGTTAAAAGTTAACAAAAATAACAATTTTTTGAGAAGCAAGACAAATCCTTGTTGGGACGGAAACTCCATTCTCCATTTGCTTATGTTTTGCATAAAGCCTACTAGCCTAAACTGGTGGCTTTCCAACCCTCTTTGTTTGGATGCTCATACAATACACGTAAAGTTACTGAAAAGAGGGTTCCTTTCTCAACTACCTTTTGCCTGTGAATCCCTGAAACAGTGGTTGAAAATTACTGGCTTAAAACCCATCCTCGGAGATGGGTGAATTTTTTAAGAGATGGGGTTACAACAGCATCTAAAGGCAACAAAGATGAGTTTCTGAACCTTCTTGCTGCATTGTGACTTTAAGTCATACTCTTAGTTAATTTTAACATTTTGGCTTCATTCTTTATATTAATCTTAAAAAATAACATGAGGCACTGATACATTATGGCTTGTTTGTGTCAAAGTACCCTGTGCTTTGGTTTTCAGGGTCTCGACATAATGAGCCAAGGGAAAGAATTCTTTCCTTGACAGTGAAATGGTTTATCCTCTGCATTTAAGGACAAACTAATATGTAAAGGGTAAATCTTCAAAGAGAAGCTTAAGTGGTTCTCTTAAGATTTTCCTAAAGATGTAGTCTTTGGATAAAAACCCAAATTCAAACCTAAACCACTTCCCCTGTTCCCCTTTCTATAGACTCCTGAAAGAATGATTTTTATAATACGTTTTAATGACCAACTACAATTTTGAATGCAATACTAAAATAAATAAGATCACATATTACAGAGAAACATGCCTCCATGTCATATACCCATTGTGCAATGAAACTATTCCTCTGGAGATGAAGCAAGATCATTAAAAGTAAGAAATAATTTTTATAGACAATTTAGGTTTTGATGCTTTTCCAAGAGTTCCTTTACTAGTTTCTCTAAGGAGAAGAGATGCTCATCTACATCTTCTGGTACAAGATTTCTGATAGAATTAGCAAGTTCAAACAGGTATTCTGTGTTTCTTCCACTAGGACCAACTGCATTAAAAATCTGGTCAGCGATTTCTTCTAGAGGTGCTGGACCAAGGTAGTTAGGGTTGTCACAAGTTCCAATGTATAACAACACATCAAAGGGCTTTACTGAGGAGTCTTTTGGGTAGAAACTGACAGTTGTAGTCCTGTAGCCGCCTTTCTCTCTGAAGTCCAGGTATGCCTTTACTTCACATTCTTGTCCAGCTGGCAATCTGTAAGCAACGCCCCAGACACACCCCTGTTGAAAGACATAAGAAAAGAAAATCCCAGCAGTGTTCATAAAGATACTCACGAATTAATGCATTTCTCTTGTATTTAGTCAAAACTCTCTTAAAAAAATTGTTCAATTTTCAGTCTTCTTATAGCCATTTCTTGCGCAGTTTGTAGGAGTCCCAAATTAAAAGGGTTGGTTTATCCGGGAAATCATCAGTTAAAATGGCAACTATGAAGACTGATCATCCACTTCCTTGCTAACACTGAGGCCTTACTTTCTTACACAGCAATTTCTTGTTGCAATTAAGTTTGAAGTAGTAAATAGCCTCAGCATGGGCTACTAAGGAGCTGGCAAAAAGGATACAAAGTATCTTCATGATCTCACAAAATTTGTATCTGTAAAATCAAATTTTACATAGTGCCAAACTCAAAAGTAATTTTGATCGGGTCCTTTCTATGTTTAGTTGCAGTTTCATTTCTAAGGACCTGCGTGTTACATCTACTTGGAGGGATGAGTGTAATAATGTTACTGCACTGAAACTGAATCAGAGAAGAAAAAGCTGAAATGAACCTTCATTTTGCATAAACAAACGTGGCATATCCAGCATCTCAGCAAATGCTGTCAGGATAAATTTCATTACCGTCTTTGAGAATCTGAATATTGCTTCATCCTCTTCACAGATAACATTTCTAAAAATTATTTAACTGTGGTGTCAGTTAGTTATACTCTCCTACCAAGTTTTATATAAACAAATCAGTGTGATCTGTGTAGGGATATATTTGCATGGGGTTTTTTGTTTTGTTTTGAAGTAGCACAGAAAAATTATGATGGTCTGTTATCCACTAAAGGCTACGAAGTACTTATTATGAGTGCTGCTTTAAAATAAATGGTAGTCTGTTTTGTCTACTGGCAACATCAAATGTGGATTCTTCCTGCAGTTAAATTGGTATATTTACCAGTGCTACAGTGACAGTGACAAAGCAATTGAGGGTTTTGCTTTTTGTGTTTTGTTTTGTTTTGTTTTGTTTTTTTCCCCTAGAACTGGATCTTAGTCATGATATCAGATGATGCTGCAGTGATGGTGTTAATTCATGACCCTTGAATTTTGCAGTCAGACCATAGGCTGGTCAAAGGCATTTTATTTAAAAAAAATCAGGAGTCATCTTCTATCGTGTCCTTTGTAGATAGTTACAGCATTTGATGTGCTGTGGCCAGGAAGAGCACTAATGAGTAGAAAAAGGGGTTCCTTGCTTTCCCTCAGCCATCCGGGATGCGGGTTCACTCCAGCTGTCTGCAGGAAGTGGGTGTTTTAAAAAGAGCCTCTTCTGTGCATGTTACTCTCTTGAGTTAAATCTGCCATTCAGACCTACTTTTGTGTGACAGGAAAATACATATAGGTGTGGTGGAGATGGGGTTTAACGCTGACAAGCACTGCTAGTTCACTGAATTAGTTTTCAGTATAGGGAATGCCTATTTCAGATGATGGAAAATTATAATCCAGAAATATTGATGAGGAGTGTGATATTCTTTTTTTTTTTTTCTTTTTTTTTCAGTGGTTTCCTCTTAACTGGTAAAGAAATTCAGATGGAGCAAGTAAAAATAACTGTCTGAATTAGATGTTTCCAAGCTGCACTCAGTGTGTCACTAGTGAAAAAGGACACACAGGGTAGCACAGAGCTGAGATCTGGCATTGTCAGTCAAAGTACTACTGCTGTTGTCACCCCAGTATTCCGTGTGTGTGTGCAGGGGAATAATTGCTGTAGTCTGCTAAGATACCTTCAAAATAGGGTTACCTTTTTAAACTTCAGAATGAGTAACTGAAATTAAAGCAAATGACTTGTCATGTCATTTGATGCTTAGGTGTAAAGGGTGATTATCTGGCCGCACCAGATTCTGGAGAAAAGGGAAAAAAAAAAACAACCAACCAAAACTGGTTTGCTAAGGGGAAAAAAGTTTCTATGGTAACAAGTAAGTTTGCTTAACAATACAAACTGAGTGACAACAAACATAACCATTCTTTGTCTATATAGGCATCTGTGTAACATAATGGTACCCAGCGGTACAGTAATGTGAAAAAAACCCTTACTAGAAAGGTACAGAAAATCACAATGAGAGACTGTGCATTGCATTTTGCTGGTTTTGCTAACTGCAGAAAACAGTTGAAGTTTTCGATTACTGCTAAACTTAGCTCTCTTTGTGGCTGCTATTTCAGGGAAATAGATCAGTAAGACAGCACTATCGTACCTGTATAGATAAGCAACTGCAAATAAAAACTAACTACTACCAAAATACCCATCCCCTGTGTCCTATGGCCTGGTGGTGCGTGGCCTTGCTCTCGCTCTGCCTCCCTGCCATCCTTCCTTCCCTCCCGCCTCCGGAGGCACTAGTCCCTGCAGGGATTCCCTCCCCGGGAGCGGGACCGGGGTGAAGCTGGAGCAGGACCGGACCATCACAGCCCTCCCCAGGGTAGAGCGTGCTGCTGGATGTGGGGGGCCTGGAGGATCAGGAGGGAGTGGGAAAGCAATCCCATCCTGGGTGTACCCTAAAACAGCCGCCCCTGGGCTCCCCCAGCCAGCTCTGTGCTTTTCTCCTGGCCGGTGAGCAGTCCAACCAAGAGCTCCCTAGGGGGTACAATCCCTAAAAATAATTGCAAGTAGCTGTAACATAGCTTCTTTACCCATTTCTAATTCTGTTTGATAGTAAAATGTAAGTCTAAGTGCTTTTAAAAGCAGAAAAATCTTGATTTTCCTACAGCCTACGTGACTGTAATCCTAGGCCTTGTTTCATCTCCTTCCCCAGCCCTGGCACTCCCTGTGCAAACACTGCCCTGGCACCAAGTGACACTTAGGGAAAAGGTCAACAGATAAGCAAGAATGGCAGACTCAGGCCAATGACTGTTTTCTCTAAACAGGAGCTGATTTCACAAAATTATGTAGAAACCAAAAGTTGTGGCATTTAATTCCTTAGGAATTTTATCTGTGTAGCAAAAACTAAAGCAAGGGTATCTCCTTCTTTTATCACTGCAATGTAATCTTGATTTGTTTCAGTTTTTACTTTGGGAGAGCAAGATTACAGTTCTGACACAACATCTGGGGTCTATCAGAGTATTGTCAGCACTATACATATGCTGAAAGTAAAATTCTGCATCTTATAACTGGACAGCTGAAGTGACTATTCCAGAAGATACTTTAAAATATACCTTTGGTAATAACAGACTCAAACTACCTCCCGCTTCTTATTTTAGATTGATTGATTTATTTGGAACAATCAAGAGTCATTGGTGTAACTTGATTTATTTGGAACAATCAAGAGTCATTGGTGTAACTCCAGGAGATTTTAAAAGAACTTTTAACTGCACTAAAGATAACTCTTACTTGCTTGGAGAGAAGCAAAAATTAATAGAGACTTACTACACAGGCTGGGAATGCAACAGGACATTCTGTACACTACAGAGACAGAACAGGAGTACTATACCTCAGGATCTTCAACCAGAGTCACAACTCTTCCAGGCTAAAATAAAATAAAATAAAATAAATAAATAAAAATTTTAAACCCAACAACAAACAACCCTCCCCCCAAAAAACAATAGCAAAAAAAAAAAACAGTTTAGTTAACGGCTTTCACCCTACATCATGAGCAAAACCAAAACAAAAGAAAAAAAAAAAACCAAAACAATGAAAAGTAATGAAGGGGTCAGAACTAATCCAGGACAATCTCAAAAAGGTCTGTTTCTTTGAGATCCAGTATAAATATTTTCTGAGAACAGCTTTTTATCTGTATTAGATAAACGGTGATAAACAAGATGTTAAATTCTGAGTGAAAAGTGTCTGCAACATAAGTTAAATTAAGGGCAGTCACAAATGGGGAGGTTTTGAATGTCCTTGCTTTGTATGTGTTGTTCAGGCTCAATTCTATTCCTCTTTAAAATGGTGACAATAATACATTAAGATAAAACTATCCTCAGCGCACTTTCCTCAGCCATGCTGCTTTTCCACAGTACTAGGCAATTTTTTTTATCTCCAGACTGACAGTGAGGTGAACCTTCTCACTTGTATTCAAAAAGTTTATATGCCAGCTTGGAAAATAATGAAATCTACTTTGTGTTAGAACTAAGCAAGATATTACCACTTCTGGTTTGGTTTGCACTAACTGGATTTTAGAAAATATTAATTACACACTATGACACACAGCAACTTCTAGATTTAAAAGCTCCTAGCTAATTAGATGCTTTTGAACAAAGAAATCTGCCAGTAATTTTTAGTAAGCACCATGTTAGCACCGTGTTATTCAAAGCTGAAAAAATAAGTTTATTTTGAAAAATACTATTTTCCCCTTCTTTCCCCCTCCTCCCAGCTCATTCTCCCTTACTGGCAGAGGGAGGAAACCTTGATAATGGCTGTTTTATGCAATGAGTGAGTTCTTGCAGGAGGAGTAGGAAGTCAGTTTGTAAATACTGAAAATTCTTGAAATTTGTTGTATAACCTGGAGAAAAAAAATTTAAAAACACAAAACCCTATGGAGAACTACATCTGCAGTTGAAAATAGCTAATTTTGGCATCAATTTAGTGTACAAGTGTCTTTGGTTAGAGATAAGGGAAAGCAGAGGTACTAGCATTCATTCAATTCTAGCGTAGGATAGAAATTCATTCTCTTAGGGGCTGCAAAGATAATCTGAACTTCATGTACTTGGATGCGTGCCCTTCATTTAGTCTTAGCTAGCTTTCAGCTTGGGACTACTACATCTCAGTCTTTTTTTATGACTCATCACTAATAGTTTCATTGACATGTCTGTGCTTTTGTGTTTGGTAAGTCTGTACTCGTGCTTATCTCTCTCACACAGTACCAGTGTAGGGTTTTCTCCTACACCGAGCCACTGGCAAGCCACATGTTTGTTGGTAACAAGCCAAATACGAAATCCAGTTTTTGTGAAGCACTTCATAGATACCATCAACTGTAGATATGATTTATTCAGTGTCAAATCTTCTATAATCTTAAAGGCTGTTTATTCATAAGTTCTGAGGTACTGCGTTTTTTTCATTTTTTATGACAGATCTCTCCCAGCATCAGCCATCTATTCCTGATCTGATTGATAAAATAAGGCAACAAAACTAAACAAATGCTAACTGATTATAATGTGAGTACTTCACAGAAACAGGTCTGTTACCATGATTAATCAAGGTAACTTAGATGTTCCTTTTGGGAAAAGATGACATAAGAAATACATCTGTTCATCTAGTCTCCTTAAACTCTGTCTCAGTGAATTAACGGGGCTGTTTTGCTGGCATTCAGTTTATAATCTCAAAGGCAGCAAATCAACACACTCTGCTAGTAATAGTACTGAAGGGTTCACCTTGACTTAGGCTAAATCTGTCTTTGACTGCTTACCTACAGAGTGTACCTATTCTGGACAATCATAGTGAACTCAGGCAAGGTCTCCTCCCCTTAATAGAGGGGAAACTTCTGATGATCAAATGTTTTCCTTAATATTTTAGGTTTAACAAACTGGGAATACACACAGTGAAAACTGCTGCACTAAAAGAAAGACCAGTGGTCAATCAGTTAAGTACACTGTCTTTGTTTAACTCTCTCCCGAAGCACCTGGTGCTACTAAAGATACACACAGGCACCTATATAAGAAGCTCCTGGTGTGTGTATATACGTGTGGGTGGGTATACACACAAATAGAAATGCTCCTTTCCATTACATACTTTCTTACCTCTGACAGAGCATGAAAACCTTTGCTTGGGTCTTTCTGTCTTAGTTACCAATACATCGCTTTTCTACCGATTTGTCCAGATAGTTTTAGTCCTTTTATGTAGTCTCTGCCAAATCTCGTTGCAGTGAGTTCCAGAATTTCAATGCATAATTAATTGGTTTTGTTTGATTTTTTTTTTTGAGCCTTGCTTTCTGATAATTTTTAGTATTCCTTGTTTGTTTCTCTTTACACAGAAGCAATTCCACACCTCCCTTTGATCAGGATGACTGCCCCTCTCCAGACACTTTGTATTTCCATGGTCCAGCTCTGCCATAATCATTGTGAGATGGAGTGTCTGCTATTCCACAAAATAGTCACAATATTGGTGTACTACTGGGTCATGTGCCAGTCACCTCCCCAACCAATTATTAATTTCCTAACCATTCAACTTCTATTTTTAGTCTCCTAAAGACAGCTTTTCTCATAAAACTATCCATAATAATTGTAAGTTAGACTCTGAGGTATGACAGGTAATACAGAACCTTTTGTTGTTACACATAGTAACAGTTACTCCCACAATGTCATGAACAGTAAATTTTGTCTTTCTTTTTGTTGTTCTGCCCTTGTGACGTAACTGCCATGCAGTTAGGCCAGCAGCGATACTTTTACATATGTTAATGTGAGACTGGAATAGCTCTACCATTTTTCTTTATATGTATTACGAAAGTGTGTGTGTGTGTGTGTGTGTGTATGTATACATAAATATGCGTATACATACATACAGGACTTAGTTTTCCATATGGCTATCAGTTTTTTTCCATCATCATTAATACATCCTTGACTTGTGTACTCAGTACTGGTCACTAAGATTTTGTAAATTATAGATTAAAGAGACATTTTGTGGTGGAAACAACTTTCTCTTCATTACCAGGAATGCCTGTATCTGAAGCCTAAATACCAAATGAAAGGAAAATACCGAAAAGTAATTAATCTTCAGATTGGTTGTGTGATGAAAGAACGATCTGTTTGTCTAGGGAAAGACAGGATATTTATTGTATTGGTTTGCAGAGTCCTCGCCTTGCATGGAGCTACCTACAACCAACACCGTTAAGGAACCATGAGTATTACCTCTGCTAGCTAAGTAAAGAAAATAACACATCTATAAATGGCTGGCTATGTAATATAAACCAAAACCATTTTTGTCATGCCTTGGGAGTACTGGCAAGGGCAAACTTCAATGATCTGCTAAATCAGATGTCTTTGAGGGATTTGTATCAGTTCTGTGCAGCCTACTGCCAAGAAGGCCGACAAACACAACCTTGCATTGGATCATGCTGGAGCAGCAGCGTGTTCTGCAGCTGCATGGGAATTTTCTAAGGCATCTGTAGTGCTAAGGGCCATCAACTCTCTGAATCAGATGGGAAGCCATTGCACAGAATTAAATACACGTTGTTTCAGCTCTTAGCGTTGTATTTCACTTCAAGCCCTCAACTGTACTGCACACTGGAGCTCCCAAATGTACTCTGGTCTTAAGGTGCACATGACAGAACATTGTTCTAGGTTTTACCATCCTGGGTTCAGTAAAAAGAGGAAAATAGCATTAGCATGGTACAGTCTGCACCAGAGTTTGTGATGTTCTGGCCTGGGGGCTTTGTCTGTCTGTGTGGAGATGAAAGTTCCTCAGCACAGTCCTGAGGTCTAGCTGATCTGTGCTATGAAACAGTGGGGTAAACTGAAACAAGACCTTCCATGGTTAGATTGTTTTCAGTGGTAGCATAAACTGCTCAGCTACTGAAATTACTAAATATTTACTGATAATCAATTTTTGCATCTGGATATGGAAGTAAGATGGAATAAAAGGAAACATGACCTTAGAAATCATTTTAGCTTGATTACCTCTTAAATTTTTTCATAAAGGGAGATGTAAGTTTGCTAATAAGTAGGACTGTAATAAATGGTTTCCTTAAATGCACAAGTTTATCTGAACAAAGCACAGTCTTTTCCACTTCCTTTCCCCGTGGCTCATTCTGGCATAACAAGAGCCTGTCTATCCATCCTCTCCCCTACAGCCCCCTTGCTGGCAGCCACCCGACGAGAAGAAACCGTCAGGGTCAAGCAGGGAATCACAGAGGTGGGAAGGCACCTCTGGAGATCCTCTGGTCCAACCTCCTTTTCCATTTCACTTTTAATGAACTAAAAGCCTTTCATTATCTTAAAATTATTTAATCGTAAGCCAACCCAGTAATTCTATGCATGCAGAAACTCCGTTTTCTGTTTGGACACTGTTTGGACAGTGGCAGCAGGCAGCTGGAGTTAAATTAATCATGTCATTGAGTTTCCCTGGGTTTTTTCCTAAGCACATTGAGGGGGTAGGAACAAAGAGAGTCTCTGGCAGAGCCGGAACCGAGATTCTCCTGAACGTCAGGCCTGTCGGTGTGCCGTGCAGTTGAGGGAGTGCCAGCACCGGATCGAGGAGAGCGGCTAAAGCAAGCGGTCTGAAGCTGGGAGGGAGGAGGGTTGTAAGGAGAGGAAGCCAAACTTCACTGTTTGGGAACAGCAAGTTATTAGTTTGGTTCAAACCATACTGTGATGATAATGGCTTCAGCCATTGAATGCGTTTACATATCTGTGCTGTTCCGTTCAAAACCATACCTCCAGACTTGAGCATTTGAGAAGGTTTATGTGAATCATGCAGGTTTGCATTTCTGATGCCATATTTTTGGAAGCTTGCACTAAAAAATTTGAATTTTCCAATTATGAAAACATTTTTGTTATTTATTCAGGTCTTTCTAAGCCAATAGCATTTTTTTTTCAGGGAACACTGTTACTGCCTGGTAAAATTCAGGCTGCTTCAACGTACTATTCAGAATAATCCTCTGAAAAGCTTATTTTTAAATAAAGCTAATATATAAGTTGCCATGTATTTTTCAATAAATGTTTATTCTTTTTTTTTTCTTCTTAATCTAACAAAACTTTTTTCAATTGAACATCCTGAAAATACGGCCCCGTGATTAAACGTGACTTTATAACTAGTTAACCATCTTATTGCAGTATGAGTTGAGCAGTTCAAAGTACGATTACAAGGTCAACCCAGTTTTGTACTAAAAGCTTGCAGCCATTGTACATAAAAGTGCTCTCTATGTTTTTGTTGCGCTGACCATGGAATGTTGGAGCAACGCGTGTTTTCAGGAGAGGGTTTTTTTTTAACTTGTTGGCTACTATTTTATTGCTGTTCTTTAAAATGTGTTAGTACTGAAGGACCAGTTTCACTTATAGCTCACCCACAAGAAATGTAATTCATCTCTCATGGCAAGGATTGTAAAAATTTTATAGCAGAGCATGTTTGGCCTGGAGAAATGGGAGGACCCAGCAGTGTGTTTTATCTATGTACGCTGAGGGAGTCACTTTGCCTTGCAAGTAGAAGTAACAACTCATGGTCTGCAGGAATATAGAAAGACATTAACTTGTTGATGCTGAGAAAAAGTGTATTTTGTTAACACTAAGAGTTTTATATAAAACGTAAAATCAAATGCATTAACCAGCTCACACAACTAACAAGCAGTGCCCTTAGTCTGTACAAACAAGCGTTTAAATAGAGATAGAACAAAGCATGGGCTTGTGTGTGTGTGTATGGGTGGGGGGGGGGGGGGGTCGGTTTTGTTGTTCTAAGGCTCTGTATGCCTGCAGATGATGTTCTGGGTATGATCCTGACTGGGGCAGAAATACAAACATCTAATCTTCTTGGAACCAGGTATATGTTAGTGGGTAGTAACCTGGTGTGGCCGTTTTGCAGGATTTTCAGTATCTGCACAAAGACAGTCACTCTGAGTATTTCCCCGAATTTCAGCTATCCCAGCAAGAGATAATGCAGTGTGGTCACCGAGGATATGTGCAATAAGGAAAAACTGGTCTGTGTGGGTTTTATTCGTTTCTGAAGCTCCAAGAGTAAGACTTTCTCTGTTGACTGATTAGGTTTTTAATTTTTTTTTTTAAGTCTGGTTTCTTAAGTAGGAGAGGCTAATGGGATCACACTCTTTTATGCCCCACCCTCACTATTTTTGTCCGGCTTTTCAAGTCATCTAAATTCAAGAGAAGAATAGCAATTTCCCAATGCTCATACAAACATAATCTTTGAAAAGGGATGACTGTCAGCTGAGAAATCCGTGTTCCCACTGAGAAAGCGAAAGACAGCTGTCCAGTCAGCAGACCTAACTGAGCTAGCCGCAGGGCATGCTGCATCTTCCAGCCAGGTGAGGCGGTGGCTGAGAGCGGGGCAGGTTTGGAGACAGGAATTGTGTGTGTGACAGCATGTAAGCCGGGTGACAAAGCAAGGCTTTTCACTCGATCTTAGAAGCAATGTGGCAAAGCATTTTGGGGCTTGAGTTCAGAACTGGGACAGCTGCATGTGCACAGCACTGCTCCAACTGAAAAACATGCCTGCCGAGCCCGCGTCTGCTTGCACATCATTTGTTTCTTTGCAGGAACCTTTTTTTTTTTTAATAAAATACTAGACGCCCAACTCGTGCTAGTACCTGAAGCATGGCGATTTGTCTTGCAGAAAAGTAAATGCAAGGGGGAGTTGGATTATCTTTAAGTACTGTGCATGTTAATTTATGGTGTTAGAGGTTCTAACTAGTGCTATTTAGAACTAGATGAAAATTTCTACATGTAGCATGCTTTTATTTTTAAAAAGAATCCTTATACCTTTTCAGGAGGAGCTCTTTTAAAGTCGTATTCCAGTTTTAGAGTGGAGCTACCAGGGTACAGGTTAGATGACTGCTTTAGGGAGCATCAGGATAACATACTTCCGTGATACAAAACCAGCATTCAAAGTAGGTAAATTATTAGAGAGCTGTATGTAAGCATCAGTTTCTATACGTTTATGATCAGTTTGCATTTCTGATGACGGAATCGTGAGCAGCATCTGCAGCCGTGAAAAACAGTCCTGCCACAGGAAAGTCATTCATCTAACTTGCTGGGCGCTTCTGTAACCTATTGTTTCTTTAACATTTGTTGAGCTATTTAGAATTATATAGGGGTGATAGCCCTTCTGTGGGGAGGGTGGTACCAGCTTTCAGAGCAGAGTAAGACTCTTATTCTCACTCTTGTGACTTAAAAATAGGTATGTTCACAGGCGGTTGAGAATGCTCGTTTCTGGAATTTTAGTTTAATTTTCTTAGTGGCTTTTTCTTATTTTTTCCTACCTTCTTTGCCGAACAGTAAATATTTCCTCCTTTGAGTTGTCATGTGAAAGTAAATAAAGCTGAAAAACAGTGAGGTGGTTACTGAGATCAATGCTCCTGGCCTTTACTGATTAACTAGCCTTTCTCTTCAAAGCCTGACACCCATGCTAAGGTATTTTCCCTTAATTATTTAGATTTATGTCTATAATAACTAAATTGGTTATTTTTGAGCTATTAAAACGGACTGATGGTTATTTTTGTTACCATTCTTCTCAGTTCATTACATTTTGGTTTTTGTTTTTGTTTTTTTTTTTTTTTGACAACACCGAAGAGAACGAATTCTTCAACTTCAGGAAACAATTCTTGCCACAATTAAATAAATTACTAGTCAAAGTGGAAATACTTAACCTCGGCACTGTGCAAAAGACTGGAGTAAACAGCATCAGAAAGCGTCAGCTGCCCTCAGGACATACTTTTAAGTTTAAAAGGGGCCCAGAAGCAGCAGTGGCGGGGCTGCAGGAGCGCGGCCAGGGGGAACAGCCCCCGGGCCGGCTGCGAGCCACGGGGCAGGGCCCCCGCCGGCATTTTCCGCCGAGCCCCACGCGGGGGAGCGCCCCGCGGGGTCCGGGGGGAAGGCCGGGCTGGCTTCGGCCACGGGGCGGGGGGCTCGGCGCACTCCCCGCCGCGGAGCCGTGAGGGCAGGAGGGGGGAGGCCGAGGCCCGCCCGCCCCGCCGCCGCGGTGAGGGGCCGCCGCTGCCCGGCCCGCCCGGCGGCCGCCCCCGCCTCACCTTGCCCGGCACGCCGCGGTGGTCGGTGCTGCCCTGCCAGAAGCGGCGGCTGTAGCCCAGGATGCGCCCCACCATCTTCTCCTCGTAAGGGAAATCCACCTTCCAAATGAGGGAGCCGTAGCCGAACACCCACATGGCCGCCCGCCTGCCCGACTGCCGGGCGGGCCTGCGCACTGCCGGCGGGCGGGAGAAGCGGCTTCCCGCTCGGCAGCCGGCGCGGGGGGCGGCGGGCCCTGCCCCTCAGGTGGCGACCCCCCCCCCCCCAAAACCCCACAAACAAGCACAACTCGCCCCACAACCCACCAAAAAGCTCTGCGAAACAAACAAAAATCCACCCCTCGTATACATACTTTGTACTGACAGGCATCTTTTCTCCTTCCCTTTCTTCCCCCGCCTTCCTCCTGCAGAGTTTGCCACACGCAAGGATGGATTTCACTGAAGCCTATTCCGATCGGTGTTCCGCCGTGGGGCTTGCAGCCAGGGAGGGAAATGTTAAAATGCTGAGGAAACTGATTAAGCAGGGATACAGCATCGATGTTCCAGATAACAGGGGGTGGGTGCCAATCCACGAAGCGGCAGCTCACAATTCAGGTGACTGTCTGAGGCTGCTAGTTCGTGCAGGTAAGGAAATTTGATGTGAAAGTAGTGTGATTTTTGCCGCTAAATTACCCTGTCATATAAAATATAAATTAAATAGATTTCTCTTACCCTGCTCGTACTTGTTTTGGAAATTTCTGTGTGGTTTCATGGATACTGACTAGCTGTGGTAAAGAGAAATAGGCATGTGGTAGCCTGTGAATGACATTTGATTCTACTCTACCTTCTCTGTCCAAGGCGGGTGGGTATCTGCATAGGGCCAGCAATAACTGACACTGAACAGCAGGTCTGTGGATATGTTGTAGGCCACCCATCTCAAAGAACTCAATTATTTTAAGAAAATAACTGTGTTTTGTAATTCATTGCTAAATATACTTTTTTCCCCCCCCTCCCCTCCATTATTCTCATTTGTAGCTCCATCTGATGGCTACATAAACTCAAAGACGTTTGAAGGGATGTGCGCGCTGCACCTTTCGGCACGCCATGGGTCTTTGGAAAGTGTTCGTATTCTTCTGGAAGCTGGGGCTGACCCCAATGAAGTTACCACCGAAGCAACCACCCCACTGTTCCTAGGTGACACGAGCTTTCTTGAAATCTCAGAACAGCCATTGAGTATGGAGAAGATTCTTCTCCAAATTTAAACTCATCAAAGTTCATTCACAGCCTACCATGTTTCATATTTTTGTAGTCTAAATACTAGGCTTTAGACTCGGAGATGGAGTAAGTCTAGAAATTACCTTTTTTTTTTTTTTTCATGGATAAATCTGCTTCAGACTGTGTTTTAAAACAAAATTGTAAAACCAAATTGGTTTTCTGTATCACTTTTTCTATCACAGTCTGTGCCTCCTAGAATTGCCTCCTATTACTGTATTGAGGGTGTTTCAATTTTTTTTTTTTTTTTTTAATTCCTCCCTGCTTCTTGTGTGAAAAGACCTCTTACTCTTTTTGCAATTTCTAGTTTAGCAATTAAGGTCCATTATTTTAGTATTTTTTTCTATAGCTTATGTTTGACATCATTAAATACTTAAAACTTCTGCCATAGTGAATCCTCGGAGTCTAAATCATCTGATGAAATATACTTACTGTTTTACTTACCTCCTTACCCAGGCAAACATCATGGCTGCCACGTTACCTTTGTTTACAAGTCTATTCTCATTTTATTTTTGAGCAACTAAATAGCTTATTTGCTTAAAACAGTTGGTAACAGGTACCACTTTTGGGGAAATCATTATTAAAAGCACACTGGATAATGATAATTAACAACATTTAAATGTTTAAATTCAGTAGATTAAACGAGGCCAAGAAATGGTCCTGGGGTTTTGTATCCAAGAGATTTTTGACAAGGAAGAAGTTTATGGTCAGGTTAGTCCAGACTATATAATGGGGCTATGGCACAGCTCTGTGTTGGACATTGAGTACTACAAGCCAAAGGCACTCCTTTGGTGAGCTCATTTACTAGTACTCCAGAATAATTATTCGATCAGTAGCAACTATTCATGGTCATTTCTCACTATATCAAGCTTTGACGTCTACACAGGAAATGTGCCCTAGTAGAATTGTTGGTGGCAAAAACTTGAGGATGGACCAGGATGCTAAAATAGACTTTGTCAGTGAGTTAATTAGCATAAGTTAAATGTGTACATTATAGATTAATTTTATAGAAGCTTTTAAAACAGTTTTAAACTTTTTTTTTTTTTTTTTTTGAAAAGTGTAAATTGGGGGGGATTTTGTTATAAGATAGTCACTGGGCTTCACAAGTTTGGGAGGCCGTTGCAGCTGCCATGCAGTTAGGTGCCTGCTGCAGAATTGTCTCCGTGTTCCACAGGAAAGAGGGAGGAGATAAATTTTCTTTTGTTATCTGTGTTAGCACAATATAGGTGGAATTTTAACAAGTCTAACTAAAAACTCTGTGGATAAATTGCCGTTCTCCAACACTCTTGGGGGTGTAAACATAAAAGGCAAGTAAGCATATATAAGGCAAGTTGAAAAGTTACAATTATTGTGTCAGGAAGTTAGTGGTGAGATCATTTGAGTTTTTCAATGAGTTCGTTAAGTCCATTTAATAAGTTTTTTTTTTTTCCCCTTCTTTTTTTACTGTTCTATTCTAAGCTGTTGAAAATGGACATGTAGGCATTGTAAAGTTTCTGCTCCAACACGGAGCAAATGTTCAAGGACCTCATTCTTGGTCTGGATGGAATTCTTTGCACCAAGCTTCTTTTCAGGTAACCTGTAAGTGTATCATATAATTTTAATGCAACTGGTGTATTCTAAGTGATATTTTATCTATTTCTTTGCATTTTTATCTGGTGTTTTTTCCTAACCTGCCCTAGCAGTCATAAGGCTGTCCAAATGCTGAAGGGCTTGCAATTCACTGAAGAGTGTATCTGAAAATACACGAGATGTTGATGTTGGCAAGCAATAATTATTTAAGTATTATAAGTATTGCATGTACTCACAAGCTCACGTGTTGTATTTGGGAAGTGAATCTCTTACAGGATTTTTTGAGAAAGAGTTCTGTTTAGTATCTCATCATCAGTGAGATATACAACCTATTTCCAGAGTAGAAATGTGTTAGCTTAATGTCCTAATAAACTAATTTAATTTCCATTTGTATGTATCATGAAATGAGCAAATGTAAAAAACTAATTTAAACTTGTCTGATTCTTTCTGTCCTTAATTTTTCGATACATCTTTAGAATATTCAATATATTGCATTTTTTCTTGTTTCTGTTTGGAATATGTGGGAAAAAATAGATGATGTCAATTCCCCACTTTTTTGTTGTTTAAAAATAAAAATATTTATTTCAGGGATGCACTGAGATACTGAAAATACTCCTGGAGAAGGGGGCAAGCAAGGAATGTAAGGATGACTTTGGAATTACACCTTTGTTTGTTGCTGCTCAGTATGGAAAGCTGGAGAGTTTAAGACTGCTTTTATCCCACGGTAATAGTGATCATTTGTTTAGCTTCATTGTTTTTAAACTTGCATCAGCCTGTCACCAGATACCATTTTAGTTCTACTTTTGCACTTCGTAACTTCAAATTTCAATGCTTTTAATGTAATTTTAGTTGCAGATGGGTACTGCAAAACTACCTTAATTGTTTAAATCTTGTTTCAGTAATTTCATATAGTTTTCAGTGAGTGATTGTAGGAAATAATCAAAACTATGAAAAGATTAAGGCTCGTCAGGGTCTTCTAGAAGCCCTCAACAGCTCTACATTAGTGGTCAGATTTTGATGACATTCCTCTTGTAATAGGATATTGTTCAGGGTAAGTGGGGATATCTTTCTGTGGTCATAAAGTGACAGCAACGCTTTCATCCACATAATCAACAAGTTTTATATGTCTAAGAGCATGTGTCCTTGCAACCAAAATTAATTGCCGTAACTATTAAGCATGAGGGTGCCATAGCCTGACCAGAGAAATCGTAGTAACTGATCAACCAAACAGAGGGAGAATATTAAAAAATAACTGCAATCAAAAGATTGCCTAGCCCATTGCCGTTCCTCCAACGTGTTTATCTTGTGTTGCGCTGATCTTTGGCAGATTTAATGTTGAAGAACTGACTGCTTAAAAAGTTAGCAACAAGCCAGTTAATCTTTCCGTATTGCAGTGGAAAACCTGTTGTGTTGTAAAATCACTCTGAAAACCAATTACTGAGTAACATTATTTTGATGTTTATTTTGTCCTGTAGTGGTGTTGTAAAGTATTGGCTTTTTTTTTTTTTTGTTTGTCAGGTGCAGACATAAACTGTCAAGCCAAGGACAGAGCCACTCCCCTGCTGATTGCTGCGCAGGAGGGCCACACCGAATGCGTGGAACTGCTGTTATCAAAAGGGGCAGAGGCAAATCTCTACTGCAACCAGGATAACTGGCAGTTACCTATTCATGCAGCAGCTGAAATGGGCCATAAAAAGTAGGTGATTAAAAAGACATAAGATTCTGGTAATAAAAACCTAATCAACAAAGTGGAAGTTCAGCTCTACAAGGAACTAAAATGAGTTCTCAAGCTGATGTGTAATTTAGGATTTCCAATTTGTTCCATATTTTAAAAGTCTGTAAGTAGTCCCAGTAAAGTGAACAACCATTTTGAATTCAGCATCTAACGTGGGTCTGATCCATATCCTAAATGAGTTTAAAGGGTTTTCTGCAGTGCTGAATCGGATACCAGTTCACTTAGTAGCCATATCACTTTTACATTTTAAAATATAAGTAGCAGTAGCATATTCTTGATCTTAACCCCAAGCAAAAGGAGGTCATCAGCTGAGTTGTCATTAAGTTTGTGCATCACATTGATGCCTCTCCTCAAACTGATGAGGAGGGCAGACGGTAGTAGGTACTGAGAAAGCTGGGTTTTGTTCTTTTTCTCAGAAAGGGAAGATGGGTTAGCGAAGTTGTCAGTACTGGAAGTGCCTTTAAATCAAATGCTGCCTTCGTAGCTTTCACAACAATATATAACTGGTGACCTCTGAGCAGCACCAGTAAGTTCCTCTAGCAAAGGAATCGGTGTTTGTCACTAATCCTTGTTAGTTGGAAAGGATGTGAACCAGAGGTGTGAGCTTGGAAACAGAATGATTTTTCTGTTTCAGTATCTCTGTG